GTCATAAAGTATTCATTCTCAAACTTTCCTATCATTAACTAGAAGAGCTTCTTTAGGTTTCCAAGTATGACACAACCTCTGTAGTCTTTAATAGCTTCTCTGATTTACATATGGCCAGGCTATTACATCTTAACATCTAGCTTTAACATCTTCTTGCTCATAGTCCAAATATATCATTTCTTCAAGCAGCCTTGATTCTACTAGAGAAAAATGTTATTCAGATATGACAGTCTAGAGTTGTGGTGACAAAACCACCTTTGGGATACACACTGCAGCAGGCTGTTTGTATCACTGAAAGCTCTAAAAGGATTGCCATCACTCTTCTGGAGTTTATTCCTTCTGGTTTAGGTCTTTTAATAGATCATGCCAGAAAACACAGTAAACTGATTAATACTAAAAGATGAATCACACTGAGCATGGAGGTGCACACCTATAATCCCAGTACCCAGGAGCCTGAAGCAGGAGGATCTCCATGAGTGTGAGGCCTCCCTGGACTACACAAGTTCAAGGCCAGCCTGAACTGCATAGCAAGACTGTCTCAAACAAATAAGCAAATAAACAATAAATAAATAGTAATTTATGTAAATATTTGCTACTTATATTCTGAGCCGCAAGATTTTAGTTCTAATGCTCTTATATTGGTATTTCACTCATTTATTCCATGCAGAATGCACACAATCATTTGGGAAAAAAAGTGGTCAACATTATCACCAAACAACACGTTTACTAGAAACAGTTCAGATATATTTTGTAGCTCATTCTACTCTTTTTTTTTCAGGGATTGAACTCAGGCCCTTGCGCTTGAGAGGGAAACGCTTATTCTACTGAGCCATCTCCCCAGCCTCAAGCTCATTCTACTCTGAATCAGTGTACTGTGTTTTAGGTTACTTTAAATAATCAATTGTTTCACTTCATTTTTAATAATTTTTATTGAATTTCATTTTAACACTATATTACATAATTTCAAAGTCAAATATACAAAGCAAGTTAATTTCAAATAAGTCTAGCTTCAATTTGTTATTCAACTTTGTTCCTCTATCCAAAGGCAAACTTTTTTTTTTTTTTTTTGCTCTGGATGCCCTTAGGCATGGTTTAGCTGGCTGGAGTGTTGTGGGAGTCCAACTACAGCAACCTGAGGCTGACAGCTTTGTGGAAGCAGCCACTTAAAGAACTGAGCTATGGCCAGGCCCCCGGCAAACTTTAGTAAGTACTCTCTACTCCTGATCTACATCCCCAGCCTCATAAACATTTTCTTCAAACCTACTATTTAAACTGGGCATGGTGGTCCATGTCTTTAATCCTAGCACTGAGGAGGCTGAGGCAGAAGGCTGAAAATCTGAGGCCAGCATAAACTACATACAGTGTTCAAGACCAGACCAAGTCACATTGTGATACCCTGTCTCAAAATAAGCAAACAAATCCCCCCAAACAAAAACCCTACCCTTTGTCTTCCCATTTGTAAAAACAGTATGTATACATCTCAATTTCTCTTTCATAAAGTGTAGCAGCATGTTACATACTACTTTACCTTCCTTTTTCCCCCCTACTTAATCAAATATTCTAGAGATTCACCTCATAGTTATATATATATATAAAATATATATATGTGTGTGTGTGTATATATATATATATATTCCATATTCCTTTATTATGTTAGATACTACCAAAAACCCACCCTCTCTTCCTCATTAGGGTTATGCCATTATGTATTACCCCATCAATTTATGAGAGTACCTTCCCTTGTGGCTTGCTCACAGAGGATTTCAACAAACTTGTATTTTGTCACCTGAAAGGCAATGTTTCTCAGTGTAATTTTTAATTTAAATTTCACTAAGCTTCAAGATAAAGAGCCAATTACTTTTTTTAAGGGAAGTTTATGCAATTTGAGGCTATTATTTGTGTGTATGTGAGTGTGTGTGAATGAGTGTGGTATCGGGTATTGAACTCAGCACCTTGTACTTGCTAGGCAGGCACTTATGCTGCTGAGCTATATCCCCAGCCCAGAGCCAATTACTTTAGCTATCTACACTTCTAGTCTATTTTTCTTTTCTTTTTTTGGCGGAACCGGGGATTGAACTCAGGCCCTTGCATTTGCCAGGGAAGCGTTTATTGAGCCATCTCCCCAGCCCTAAAATGTATTGTTCGTTCGTTCATTCACTCATTCACTCATTCATTCATTCACTCATTCACTCACTCACTCACTCATTCACTCAGTGGAGATAGGGTCTCAATACAGTTTATTTTTTTTTAAATTATTTATTTATTTATTTTTATTACATTTATTTATTGTGTGTGTGTGTGGCCAGCTCAGCCCACCAGGGGGCGCGGCTGGCTGGCATGTGGTGCTGGGGGATTGAACCGCGGTCCCTGTGTTTTGCCAAGCTTGTTTCAAGTAGGTGCTTTAGACCACTGAGCCATCTCTCCAGCCCCCTCAATACAGTTTAGCCTGGCTTTGAACTTGCTTCTATGCAGCACAGGCTGGCTTTGAACTTGTGCCGTTACCTCCACTTTCTAACTACTAGGATTACAGGTATGAGCAACATGACTGGCCCAAGAAATAGTCCTAATGGTCATCTCTGCATGCTTCTATGGGCATATATGTGGGATACTGGAAGTAGACCTGAGTTAGTATTTTAAACTATGATACTGGTAAACTGTTTCCTCTCGAAAGTATATTTTAAAAAAATACATTCCACTATATCATCAGTATACAAGAGATATTTTACTTATTTCTACTTGATAGCACTGTTATTATCAACCTCTGAATCATATTCAGTGTAATATGATCTTTATGTACTTAAGCTTACCAATATTTCCCTTTATGGTTTTAGGATTTCATGTCATGCTTATAAAAGTCCAAAGCATTTCCTGTTAACACTTTTTCGTTAAACATTTAAATCTCATTCAGAAACCATTCGATTAAGCTCTACTTTTTAAAAATGTGATTAGGTCAGAGGTAATACTCTAGCAAAAATTACTAAGAGGGGGCCGGGGAGATGGCTTAGTGGAATAAGCGCTTCCCTGGCAAGTGCAAGGGCCTGAGTTCAATCCCCGGTTCCACAAAAAAAAAAAAAAAAAAAAAAAAAAAATTAGTAAGAGGCACATGATTGTAATCCAAGCACTGGGAGGCTGAAAACAGGAGAATCACTGAGTCTGAGCTGCATAGGGAGACCCTGTACCAAATACATAAATTTAAAAAAACAAGCAAAAAATAAATAAAAAAGATAGATGGTTAATTCTAGAGCAGTTAACAAATATCTTTTTAAATCTTTTAAACATATTTGGTACAGGATCTCACTACGTAGCTTGAACTGTAGTGATTCTCTTGTTTTCAGCCTCCCCAGCGCTGGGATTACAGGCATGTGCCACCATGCCCCGTGTCTCAGTGGCCAGTCTGGTGTGCCCAGGGAGCAGGGCTAGCACTGCACGTGATACCAAGGATTAAACCCCAGCTCCTGTGCTTGTCTAAGCAGGTGCTTAGTCCACTGAGCTATCTTGCCAGCCCAACAAATATTATCTTAAGAAAAAAATATTGTGCACTTAATTGAAATATTAAACAATAAACGAGTAGATGCTTAAAGGATTTTCTTGAGGCCTCATGGGCAGAAATAGGGTTTTGTCTTGGGGGGGAAGCCAGTAATGGATACAGAAGGCTTCATTTTAAGCTACATCCTAGGCCTTGTTTACTGTTTGAGATAGTTTTGCCAATTGCCCAGATCAAGCTCAAACTTTGCAATCCTATTGTCTCAGCTTCCCAGAATGCTGGGATTACAAGACTGTGCCACCATGCCTAGCTCTGTAAGTCTTTGAACATTAGATTTCAATGCAACACTGTAATTAATATGGCAAGTTTGATACCAAAACCTCAAAATGCAGTTTATGAATAAATATGTAACAAACACTAAAATCTACTAGTAAGTTCTACGACCAAAGTTATTTAGAGCAGAAAAAATGCACACTAACCACTAAAGAATGCTGAAAGCAGATATTCAAGCCATGAGTTCTATAAGGAATGTTAGTACATTTTACATCTTGTGATTTAAATATTGTCTTACTCAAGGTATCACAATAAAGCTCTTCAATTCAACATCTTATACTACCATATTACAGTGTTTAAAGACTACAAAAAAAGTGTTTATTTAATCACTATGAATAATTTTTTAAAATAAAATTTTTTTTAAAAATGTTTTGTTAGGGGCCAGTGAGACAGCTCAATGGTCTAAAGCACCTGCTTAGGCAGGTGCAGGGAACCATGGTTTGATCCCTGGCACCACATGCTGCACCAGCCCTGCCCTTAGGGTGGGCTGAGCAGGCCCCCCTAAAAAAAAAAAAAAAAAAAAAAAAAGGTTTCTTCGCTCTTTAACCACCCCCCTTTTTTTTTAACATTGGTGAGTCTCACGATTTAATTCAGGCTGGCTTTGAACTCTATGTAATCCAGGCAGATCTCAGACTCATGGCAATGCTCCTTGCCTCAGCCTCCTGGGTGCTGTGATTATTGGCATGTGCTACCCCACCTGGCCACAGCTGCCACTTAAAAGAGACTTAAAAATGTAAACTATTGGGGGCTGGGGAGATGGCTCAGTGGAATAAGTGCTTTACTGGCAAGCACAAGGGCCTGAGTTCAATCCCCAGTTCCGGAAAAAAAAAAAAAAAAAAAAATGTAAACTATTTCCTGGCTTCATGTGTAAATAATCTATCACAAGAATTATTTATGCATGGACTAACACAAAATAAAACTCATTTTCCCTTAAGAACTGAGTTGAGGGCCAGGGAGATAGCTCAGTGGAATAAGTGCTTGCCTGCCAAGCGCAAGGTCCTGAGTTCGATCCCTGGTATCACCAAAAAAATAAAGAACTGAGTTTGATTATTTCAAGTTATCACACTAAAGAAACCTAAAGAATTGAACATATTTCCTTTCCAAACAATTTTTCAGTGACTAAAAACAACAGGCTGCTTAACATAGAAATCAAACATTCCACACATACAAAATCACATCATACCTCTTATCAGCAAGATCTGTCTTATTTCCTACCAGCATGATGATAACATCACTTCCTCTCTCTGTTCTGACATCATCAATCCATTTTGTAGTTTGCTGGAATGAGTTAACATCTGGTATGGGAGGCAGGACAGAGATCAGCATTACTCAAAATGCCTCCCAAGCAAAGGACACCATTCCCCCCAAATACCCTGGAAGTTGGAAAGAAGATGGCACATTAGGAACCCGCTTTTAATGTGCTTGCAACATAACTCCATTTTATCTGATTACAGCTGTCAGTGAGCTAAACAAATCTGAATATAATATTTAAATTTAAAAAAAAATTTAAAAATATTTAAATTTTTGACAATCAAATGAGTGTGATATACTTACACAATTGGAAAAATAAACTATTTAAAATACAAGGACAGCTATGGCAGATAATTTGGTGTTACACTGCCACAATGCTTTTTAAATCACTTACACATAACACAACAAAGAAAGCATTTCCAAAATTATGTCAGCCAATAATTCCCAACACATCCAGAAAATCTGTAATCCTTAAACAGCTTTTAACACCACTATGTTTGCACTGCTTACTCAGTTTGTGATCACTTTAACCTAAAATCTATTGGTTTAATGCACCAGAATCACTTCTAACAAAATTCACTTTTTTAGTGTTGGAGTTTAGAGTACTTCAATATCTTTTACAGCAATTACAGAAAGCAACTTACTGATATTTCAACATATTTGCTGAATTTTTAAAGAAAAATACCTGAATTTTTTTGCTTTGGTTAAAGCAAGCACAAACACATTAAAGCTAAAAAAAAAAACTAGTCAATGCATAATAAGGAACATACATTTTAAAAAAATAAGTAGCAACCCAAAGTAAAGCTGCAAAAAAAAAAAAAAAAAAAAAAAA